GCTGTGTTTCTAACAGCACGTGAGTCTAAAAATTACATCCTTTACATTTTTAGAAGATGTAATCTTCAATTTACCACATCACAGAGCAGACAAGAGATTAATAAAGTTCACCATTTATCATGGATAAAGTCTCTATAAGGTCAAAAGGCATCTATGGAAATAACAGATTTGCAAAGATAACCTAGAATTACTATCTTCTGCAAAGATATCGCAGAATTATAAAGCAAACAAAACATGGGGAAATGAAGATTAGTGACAATAAAATAGTTTCAAGACATATCATTTACATTGGGTGTCAAAGTACAGTCCACAGACCAACCCTGAAATGCTTTTTTAATGAAGTCTCATTGGAATACAGCATCATTCATTCATTCATACACACATACATACACACAGATGTACACACATATGCACATGCTCTCACGTACATTTTCCATTGCTTTTGTACTATAGTTACATAGATAATTAAGTGCAACATTTTTCTCACAAAGCTAAAGATATTTCCTATATAATACATTAGAGATATAGTTTCCCATAGTCTATGATGAAAAGAAATTTACTAGGAAAGAAAGAGATAAAATGCACAGACTGAATATATGTGCAGACTTGGGACAAGTTTATATGGCACCAGAAGACCCTTTAAGTATATTAATCAAGAGTAAGTCTAGTTTTCAGTTCTCCTGGAAAAATGTTTAGACATTTCATTTATATCTGTGTAGAGAAGGTTGAGATACTCAAGAATTCAGACAGAAGTGCTTAATTATAACTGTCAGATATGTGGGGAAAAATAAACAACATTATCATGTCTGCTAGATAATTGCCACCTTGGATATACATCATATTCTAAGAAAATGACTTGTTAATTTGAGCAAGAAACAAATCACATTTCTCCCTAGTAAATGCCTCTCTCTATATATATATATATATATATATAGATAGATAGATAGATAGATAGATAGATAGATAGATTCACAGATTTTAGAATCAAAATGAAGAGGGTGAAATCCCACCTGCACATTATAAAAGCTTTCAGATTACTGCTCAGTTACCCTATGTCTCAATGTCCTTCTCTACTAATAAGGTTACATACCATTTTCCTTAAATACTGTATATTTAAAGTAATATGTCTGGTGTGCTTGTTACCTTTTGTTTATTTTTGTTAATTTGACACAAGTTCCTGTCATTTGGAAAGAGGAAGTCATTTGGTAAAATGCCTCCATCCTATTGTCCTATAGGCAGGTATGTGATGGTATTATTGCCTTGATTAGCGATTGATGAGAGACAGTGGACTACTGTGGTCAGTGCAGTTCCTGGACTGATGGTCCTGAGTTAACAAAAAAAAGGAGGCTAAGCAAAACATAGAGAGCAAGTCAGGAAGCAACATTCCACCATTGTCTCTCTGTCAGTTCCTGCCCTGATTTCCTTTGATAATGGAGTATAATATATAATAAGATTGGGATCTCCCGATACTAAAAGCTTCTGTAAGATAAAGGACACTGTAAACAAGACAAAATGGCAGCCAACAGAATGGGAAAAGATATTCACAACCCCCACATCTGATAGAGGGATGATCTCCAAAACTTTCAAAGAACTGAAGAAGCTAGTTTATTACTGGAATGCAGAACTAAATAGAGAATTCCTCAGTAGAGGAGTATAAAATGGCTGAGAGACACTTAAGAAAGTTCTCAACATCTTAGCCATCAGGGAAAAGCAAATCAAAACAACTCTGATATATCATCTTACTTCTGTCAAAATAGCTACAATCAAAATCACTAATGACAGTTTATGCCCAAGAGGATGTGGAGAAAGGTGAACACAACTCCACTGCTGGTGGGAGTGCCAACTTGTACAGCTACTCTGGAAATCAGTTTGAATGTTACTAAGGAAAATGGGAATCAGTCTACCGTAGTATCCAGCAATAACACTCTTAGGCATATACCCAAAAGATGCATATTCATACAATAAGGACATCTGCTCAACTATGTTCTTAGTAGCATTACTTGTAATAGCCAGAACAGGGAAGCAACCTAAATGCCCCTCAGCAGAAGAGTGGATAGAAAAGGTGTGGTACATTTACACAATGGAATACTACTCAGCGGGAAAAAATAGAATCTTGAAATTTGCAGGCAAATGGATCACACTAGAAGAAATCATCCTGAGTGAGGTAACCTAGTCACAAAAAGACAAACATGGTATGTGCTCACTCATATATGGATTTTAGAAATGGAGCAAGGGATTGCCAGCCTACAATCCCACTGCCAGAGAGTCTGGGAAACAGGGAGAAGCCTAAGAGAGATATGCATGGCATCCCAGGGAAGGGGAATGGGACAGGATCTCCTGAGCATATTGGGAGCATGAGGGGAGGGGAGAGGGAGTTAGGAGAAAGAGAGGGGGAGAAGAGAGGGGAAAGGAGGACATGGAGGAGCAGGAAGGTAGAGTCGGGGTTAGAATAGAGGAGACAGGATGAGAGATGTCATAATAGAGGGAGCCATTATAGGTTTGAGGAGAGATCTGGCACTAGTGAGATTTCCAGAGATCTACAAGGATGACACCAACTGGCAATGTAAGCAATAGTGGAGAGGCTACCTTAAATGATCTTTCCCCATAATGAGATTGATGACTACCTTATATGCCATCCTAGAGACTTCATCCAGTGGCTGATGGAAGCAGAGGCAGACACCCACAACTGAATACTGAAGTGAACTTCTGGAAAACAATTGCAGAGAGGGAGGATTGATGAGCAAAGTAGTCAAGACCGTGCTGGTGAAACCCACAGAGAAAGCTGACCTGAACAAGGGGGAGCTCATGGACCTCAGACTAATGGCTGAGAGGCCAGCATGGGACTGATCCAGAATCCCTGAATATGGGGGTCAGTGAAGAAGCCTGGGCAATCTGTGAGGTCTCGGGTTGTAGATCAGTATTTATCCCTGACATAGGAATGGCCTTTGGGCGCTCATTCCATGTAGAGGGATGCTCTCTCACTCTGGACACATAATGGAGGACCTGGGCCCTACCTGGGATGATATGACAGACTCTGGAGATATTCCGTGGAAGGCCTCGCCCTCCCTGGGGAGGGGAGGAAAATGAGGTGGGGAGATGGGGTGTTGTGGGAGACAAGGGAGAAGTGGAGGGAGAGGGAACTGGGATTGACATGTAAAGCAAGTTATTTCTAATTTAAATAAAAAAAGAAAGAAGGAAGAATTAACCCTGTTCAAACAATATTCTCCTTTGTTGGGAATTGAATGTAACAGGGGTGCATCCCTCAGCTTAAGGAGTCAGAAGATATGATCAATTGCATCCTTTTTGGTTTCCTGTTGATCAGGAGTAACCTTCACCCCCCTCTCCTGTGACTTACAGGCAAACATTAATGAGATTTTATTTTGGAATCACTCTGAAATGTGTCTCATTGCTTTTCAATTATTACCTTTGTCTCTTGCCCAGAGGCAACTTAAGATCTTTTTTTTGTTTGTTTGTTTGTTTGTTTGTTTGGATGCTGGAGACAAACATCTTTATTAAAGATACTAACAAAATTTTGGCAAACATTTTAAAACAGATTTGTAAACATAATGCTTCCCTTTTCAACCGGCAGCACTTTGAAAAGACGATACAAGACAACACAACCTGAATCAACATTAGTTCAAAATCCTTATATTTTGACCACATAACTTATGTTCCCACATGATAAGACAAGAGATAGTTTAAATCAACATTAACAGATAAACTCCATGAAATGAAAGTTTGTGCTGTTCAATGAATCACAGTATGTTATGGTTAAATATATCTACTTTTTTTTTAATATTCCTGGTATCCAGGATGTAAAAGAAATCTTTAAATATACATCTGATGTAGGTAATAGCTTCTTTGCATATCTCTCTTCAAAAAATACTTTATAGCAGTATATAAATAGGTTACCTACACATTTAATTTTATCATTTGCCCCAAAACTATATATCTATTTCATTTTTATAACATATCAATTTTTTTGCCCAACATTAATAAAGCTGACAAACTGTTGAAATGGAAATGCTTTTTTCTTCCACAGTAGAAGTAGCAATTTGACAGAAACAAGTAAACAAACATCATCAATAACCTGCTGTAACACTCATCAGTTGTTTAACCTGAGCGTCCGGCCTACTGAGTAGCAGCTTTTCACCTTCCTGCAGCTCACACCCACATCAGTTCTGCAGACACACAAGCTGAACACACACACACACACACACACACACACACACACACACACACACACAAACACACACACACGTTCTGACGCTGGTAGGCCACAGTGTGCTTCCCGTGGCTGTCGGCACAGGGGAGCAGTGCAGCTACTAATTAACCACACAATGTACACAACAAGCAAACACCTTAAGGCAGCCATTGCAATGGGGGGTTTAACTTGCAGGGCAGGTTTAACACTCTAGAGCCAGTCAGCCCTTTGTGTGTGTGTGTGTGTGTGTGTGTGTGTGTGTGCGTGTGTGTGTGTGTGTGTATGTGCATAGAAAACTACACACATAGTCAAACAACTTTCTATTTTTCAACCCTCCAAAACAATGTTTTGATTTTTTTTGGAATTTTGTGCAAATGTCTATCTATATATTCTACCATTTAAGGCAAAGAGTTTGCATTAAGAAAGGTCAGAAAATAGGCTTATGAAAAGCATTTCACTTTGCACATTACTGTTTTGTTTTTAAACACAAGCAACTGTTAAGTGTGGACATTGCATCCCTGATACCTAAATTAAAAAAAATCATCTCTAATGACAAACACAAGTTTTCAAGGAAAAATTGATTTGAAGTATAGACACTGGATCCCCAATATCTAAAAAACTGCTTCTATTAACAAACAACTTTGGGGGTGGGGGAGGACCAGAAAAAGAAAGCAGCTTGAAAATTCAGGGAAGCAAAATAGAATGAGGAGGAAAAAAAGTAACTCAAGTTTACTAATACTGAAACTTCCAACAAGCAAAGTTTCATCTTTTAGAATCTAAAGCAACTCATCTGGAATTTTAAATAAATAAGTTTAAGTTTTATTCACATCTTCTGGTCCAAGCAGAGTTCTAGTGCCATGACTCTGCTTGCTGTTGGTCAAATTCACCTATTAGTCTTTTGATGTGAGCCAGCTGGTTATGAAGATACTCGCATCTGTACTTTTCTTCATGGTAATTGGGACTGGACTGCTTGATCTTCTGATATTCTTGTAAGACTTCTTCATGAACATTCTGGTACTCTTTTGAGCCTGGAGAAAGGCGCTTTCGTTGTGCATCCAGCTTAGGCATTATAAGTATTAAGAGAATTTTAGGTTACTCTACTAGTATTTCCCAATTTGCAGTATAAAACTGTGTTATTCAGATTTCTTACTGATTTGACAAACATATGAAAGAAACAACATAAAGAAGATGATTTCCTTTTGAACATTTTCAACCCAGGGTCACTGGCTCCACTAATTCTGGACCTGTGGATAAGAAGAATGAGCATGGCAAAACACTGTGGTAGGACACAACTGTTGGCCTTGTGGCAGGCAGCAAGCTGGAACAATGAGAAATTTGGATAATTTCTATTTCTCAGGTGCATGGAAGGCATACTCTGCTTAAAGCTTGAGTTTTCTTTAGCTATAATCCCACAGATAAAGTTTGTCTAGGAAAGCCTCTTAGAGAAAGTTGTCTTTGCTTTGAAAACATAAAAATAATTAACTCTTTTCTCTCTAGTTGCTTTTGGTCATGATATTTATCACAGCAAATGAAAAAAACTAGGACACCTGACTTTTAACAACCATGAAGTAACTGTAGGCCCTGTCAACCTCACAGCATTTTCTCCCTCCTTCCCTATCAACTTGTGATGGCTAATATTATCAACTTGATAGAATCTAGGAGACATGCCTCCATATATCTGTGAGGTATTATTTAGATTAGTTAGTCTCTGGGAATGCTTATTAGAATCATCTCCACTGGGTTATTTGAGGTGAAAGGGCACTCTAAAAGAGAACAGCATGTTAGTGGATTGGGTCATGAACTGTATTAAAGAAAGAAGCTACCTAGCATGAGTGTTCATTGCTCGTTTCTTGACTGCCTCAAGCTACTGCTGGAAAGATTTGACCACCATTCCTTCATTTTTGTTCTTGCACTAAAATATCCTGACACAAAAGCAACTTAGAGGAGAAAGCCCATAATTCTAGTTTACAATCCACAATAGAAGGGAATTCAAGGAAGCAAAAACTTAAAATAGTTACATCACATTCACAGTTGATAGTAGAGAGAAAGGAATGCATTAATGCATGCCACTACTCAACTCACTGTCTCCACTGTTACACAATTCAGAAACAAAATCTAGGGAATAATGTCTCCCATAGTGTCTGATCCTCCCATGCCAACACGTCAATAAATATAGTCAAGACAAGCCAACCCAGTTTAAATATAACTCATTGAGATTCTCAGGTGATTTCAGATTTTGTCAAGTTGATGAAACTAAGCATTAAATATTCCTTGATGGACTGTACCATCAAACTGTAGCCAAACCAAAATATTTTCTTTCTTAAGTTGCTTTTCCAAGATATTTTGTCTCAGCATCAGTGTAAATAACTAATGCAGAAACACACATATTCTAATAGGTTGAGGAGCTGTCTTTCACATTAGGAAATGATTTATGTCCTCAGTCACCAACTCAATAAATTTCTCTATTTTCATTTTATAACAACTTGAGTTATCTATCTACACAGTCCTGGTATTTAAAAGCATATGGTATTCACTTAGATTCTTCATGGTGATTACATGTCTAGCTCCTGAAGCTATAGGCCAGCCCTATATGACTCACGTGAATGAATTATCTCCAGCTACCCTGGCCTTCCTCATCTTCAGCTCCACTCTTTTGTCTCTTGATATACTCCTCTCTTGGTATTCAACTATGTGGCATCAAGATTTACCTTTGAAGAATCAATGCCAATAGCCTTCCTTAGAATAATCTTTCAGATGTCCCATGTTAAACAAGATTAGGCAATAGTGGAGAGATTACATTAATTGCCCCTTCTTGATGAATTCATTATATGCCATCCTAGAACCTTCATCCAGTGACTGATGGAAGCAGAGACAAATACCCACAACTAAACACTGAACTGCACTCCTAGAACTTAGTGAAAGAGATGGAGGAGTGATGAGCACAGGGGTAAAGACCATGATGGTGAACCCACAGAGACAGCTGACTGAATAAGGGGGAGCTCTTGAATCCCAGACTAATGCCTGAGAGGCCAACAGGGGACTGATCCAGAATCCATGAATATAGTCTCAGTGAGGAGGCCACAGAAATAACTGGGGCCTTGGGTAGTAGATCAGTGTTTATCATGGTTTATCAATGATCTTTGGGAGCCCATTCCAAACAGAGAATTGCTCTCTCAGCCTGGACACTTGGGGAAGGGGCTAGGTCCTGCCCTGGATGAAATGACAGACTTTGGATATCCCCCAAAGGAGGACCTCATCCTCTCTGTGGAATGATGTGGAGATTGGTTGTGGGGTTGGAGGGGCTGGTGAAGGGACTAAGGAGGAGGGGTGGGAGAGGGAGCTGGGATTGACATGTGAAGCATTCATGTCTCTAATTTAAATAAAAAATAAAATAAAATAGTAGTCCCTCTGTCATCAGTCAGAGAATTCATGTTTTTCTCAATTTGCTCTTCATAAAATGGTCAGTCATGTATTTATACATGTACTTAATTAATTATCATTTTTTCACTGTACCAGTAATCAATAAAACCAGACTGCATCCAAATCTGAGCCTCAGCTTTATTTTGTACTCCAGGCCTAAAAATGATATCATTTTAAGTGATCATATAGGCATCTGTATAGTATTGTTGACTTTCCTCATTATCCACTGTTTGGTTTACTTTCTCTTTGATAATTCACAGATGAAGTAATGATCCTTCAATATGCTATATATTTCTATTTTCATTTTTCTTATAGATCTGGCACATAAAAGTATACTGTCAGGATGTAAAAATAGATAAGTGGCAGATAGATCAGTAAATAGAGTCTTTTAAACTCTTAAAAGCTTGTTTTGAGCAAATTCTGTGTGCAGGAATTCACATAAAGTAATGGCAATTGTATGAACAAAGAACAAGGGGTTTCAATCCAAATCATAATTGGCAGTCCTCATTTTTAAAGGAACATAACTTCAACAATAATTATCAAGTCTAAGTGTATGGTGTGAGGAGGAAAACTCTTACTGCCTCTTCTGGTTTGTAAGCTGTTGTTCTCCACTGTATTTTCATGTTACTTCCCGTGTCTGACTCCAGTTCTTTTAGGTCAATCTCAGTTCTCAGTCCCCTAATAACTCCCTTGACTGCTCTGGTTTTCTCTGATCTTGATTTTTGTGCTAGCATACCATTCAGAGGAAAGACATCTCAAATTCGTTCACCATTCTCTCATCTTCAGAGGACATGTCTAATCAATTCTAGACAATTAGAATATATTTAGTCCAAGGTCCTTTAAGCCCATGAGCTAGAGTTGAGTCCAAAGGCCAGAACTGTAATCATCTGGGACAGTGTGAAGACAAGAAAAAAGCTTAGAATACATCCCAGTCCGTTGGTTTAGCAACTCAAGAGAGTGGGGTGGTCAGCTGGGTGGTGGTGGTGCATGCCTTTAATCCCAGCACTTGGGAGGCAGAGGCAGGTGGATCTATGTGAGTTCGATGACGCCAGGCTGGACCAAAACAATACAGAGAAACCCTGTCTCGTAAAGCCAAAAAAAAAAAAAAAAAAAAAAAAAAAACAGAAAGAGTGGAGTGGCCAAGGGAATACAGAAATCTATAATGTCAGAAGACATCTAAGTGACTCTCTTATAAGGTAATAACTATCAATAAAATATTATAATCATCTTTTTAATTTAAAGTTATCTTCATTCTACCCCATCAAAGAATTTGCTTTAAATTTTTTGTTGCCTTAAGGCTACCTTAAACACCCTCCCCTGATAATGAGATTGATGACTACCTTATATGCCATCCTAGAACCCTCATCCAGTGCCTGACAGAAGCAGAGGCAGACACCCACAGCTAAATGCTAAACTGAACCCAGTTACAAAGAGGACTGATGAGCAAAGGAATCAAGATAAGGCTGAGGAAACCCACAGAGTCAGCTGATCTAAACAAGGGGGAACGTATGGACCTCAGGCTGATGACTGAGAGACCAGCATGGGACTGATCCAAAGAAGAGGTCTCAGCAATTAATGGGACCTTGGAGAGTAGATCAGTATTTATTCCTGGCGTACAAATGGATGCTGGGAGCCCATTCCACATGGAGGGATGCTCTCTCAGCCTGGACACATGGGGGAGGACCTAGGCCCTACCAGGGATTATATGACAAGCTCTGAAAAGCCCTCATGGAAGGCCTTACCCTCCACAAGGAGCAGAAGGAAAATGGAGTGGGATGGGGGGTTGGGAAGAATGGGTGGCCAGGAGAGGAGGGGAAGGAAAGGGAACTGAGAGTAATATGTGTAAAAAGCTAAATAAAATATATGTGTAAAAAAATAAAAATTTTGTTGCACTTATTTTATTATGTGGTATGTGTGTATGTAAATATATGGGATCTACCTGTACCATGGCATGTGTATGGAAAGCTAAGGACAAATTTAAAGAGTTGGTTCTCTTCTTCTGTCATATGGGACTTAGGGATAGAACTCAGGTCATCAAGTCTAGAAGCAAGCAGTTTACTTCCTGAGCCATCTCATTGGCATGATTTTGGTTTAAAACAGTTGTGTGAAGTGGCCTAGGTTTGGTTATTTTTGCTTGCATGCTCTCTTGTATGACTGGGTGAATGACACTATTCTTCTACCCTACAGCATCTCCTGGCTATTTTCTTGAGAATCCATAAGTGAGAACTACACTTATATATTTAGAATTTACACTGCCAACTGACCTTTTATTAAAAAAGAAGTTCAAAAGCTTCCCAAGAGAATAACACCGGGATATATAACTAAATGAAGTAAATCAAAATGCTGACAAGAACATTATTTAGGCAAAAAAGAAAAACAAGACAAAGATAGCATGTTTCAAACACAAAAAGCAACAGTCAAAAGTTTGAAACGAATCTGCTTTGCAAATGGAAATTTATCCTATTCAAATGTGGCTGAAACTTTTATTTATTCACATCTCACCAAGAGAGATATAAGGGACTATATTCAGCTTACATAATTGGTCACTTCAGAACTTAGGAGAAAAATAGTGTAACATTACTAACATACGTCTTCCATTTTCATGAATACATTTGTCATAGGTGCTTTTCTCAAGATCCTAAAATGCTGTTTTTCATCACCATTTCTTTACTGGGATGAAAATTTTTCTTCGGAAAACATAACACTAGAACTGATGGGACAATATGCTGGCCAGGGAAATCATCATTTTAAATAACTGAGCATAAATGCATTCTATAAGGAATGTACATCTAGCAAATGTTTGAACTTGACAAGTGCCCACTATTCCCTAAAAGAAATCAAATCAAATAATATTCTAGAGCTGATCTAGACTATGAGGGGAGGGGTGGAGAGGACTGGACTGAGAATGATCTCCTATAAGTGGTAAGTTAGCTTTGACTTACTTTAAACACTTAATTAGAGTTTTCTCTGCCAAGTAACATACTCACAAGAGATGTTTGAGAAATCATCACCCTTTAAATTCACACTCTTATTTACAAATAGAGTAATAAAGCCCATAGACTAATTGGTGGACAGTTGGTATGATCTCACAAAGGGGAAAAGAACTTGACCAATATACCTGATGCTGTTTCTCCAAAAATATTTTCCATCTGATAAGAAACACAAGCTGGCAAAGACATTCTCTGAAAGTATTCGACTTCCTCAGCCACCTTCCATTCCCCACTACACCCCAGCTACCTCTACAGTGACCTAAACAATCATGTTCCGGACATTCTAAACCTCATTCACAATGTTTCTCACTCATACATCATCATTCCTTGCACTCCCACTGAGTACATCTCTGGTCAGTTACATTTCTCAATGTGCAGTTTCTTAAACAAACAGAACCAACAATTATTCACATCATATTGATTATTTAATTGCCAATCTAGGACAGATCAGTAACTTGGTAAAATCAAATTAAAATTTATTATTGTGGAAATACATCTTTAAAAATATATATTCTAGCTTTTCATTATGGTCAACAACGCTATAAGACCTTCCTCATCCTCCCTTGTTTTTCAGACCAGTATGACATACTTTATGGGCCAGTACCAAACATATTTTGAGGGATTTTCTTCTAAATAACTCTGGTATCTTATCCATTGCATACCAACATTTTGGCCCCTTTCTGCATAGACCTTAACCCTAGAATTTGCCTCACAACTTTAACCATAATGAAGCATATTAAAAACAAAGACTATGTCATTAATCCATTAGATTATAATATCTCCAAGTTCAGTAATTCAAAATACCACCAAATCATCCCTTCTTCTCTGAGTTTCACAGTTTTAGAAATAAGCAAGTACCAGTGCAGCATAAATAGAATGGCAGATACTATTTTACCTAAAGCAAAATCCTAAGGATGCAGATCCTACAAAATGCCCAGCAATATAAAAGTTTATGAAACTTTGATGATGCCTGAATTGCCAGTATCCTAAAGTGTCTGAGAAAATATGGGATAGGGAAGCTTAAGAAGCTCTCAAGAGTCCAGATTTTCACAAATTTCTGAAAATAGCATTTTATCATTGACAAATAACCTATCTTTTAAGCATGGTACAGATAGTATTGGAAAGATTATCCTTACAGACACACCAACTTTCTAAAAACCTGTCACTTACAACAACTTGGGTGAAACATCACCAAGTCCAAAGAATTGGTAAAGACTACTTGGGGGTTTTCCAGAGAAAATGAACCAATACTCTGTACAATGACCTAGGGTTAATAAATCCACACACACAACTGTGGAAATTAAGGAGATCCAAATGTTGTATGTAGCCTGGCAGACTGAAAACCATAGAAATTGCTGACTACACATTTAAATCCCAAAGAATGCCTGCCATACTAGTCCCACCTCTACCTATGGAAGGAAATAAATGTGGGCCTCTTTCCTCCCTGAATTCTGGTGCCATGCTTGGAGCATCCTGAACCTGGGGATTGCACACTGGGGAACCTATCCCAGCAGTCCAGCCCAGCCAGAGACTGCCAGCATCCTACTGCTGCCTCCACCCACAGGAGGAGAAAACATGGGGGCATGTTTCCAGTCCACCTTCAGGTGCTGTGCTCAGAGCCTCCTGAGGCTTGGTACCTGCACATGGGGGAACCAGTCCAGCAGAACAGCACACCCAGGGTCTGTCATGTCCTGGTACTAGTCCCGCATCCACCCAGGGAAGAGGAGAACCATCAGAGTATTTGAACTGATTGTACCCACTAGAAGGGAACCTTAGACCCATACCTAACAGGAAGGAAGAGACTCCACCTGTACCCACAAGAAGAATGGATGGGAAGAAGAAATTATAAAAACACATTCAACAAAACAAAAAATATGTTACACCACTGGAATTTATGGATTCTATACCAGCAAGACCTGAACATCCCAACACAGATAAAGCAGATGTGAATTTCCTTAAAAACACCTTCATGAAAATGAAAGAGGCATTCAAAGAGGATATTACAAAATTCTGTAAAGAAATAGAAGAAAAGACAAACCAAAAATACAAGAAATCAACAACTCTTTTTTTCTTTATATATAACTTTTTAGATATGTCACTCTCAGTTCCTTTTCTCTCCTCTCCTCCCCCAGCCCCTTAATGGTCCCAACCCAAATCCTCCCAACCCCCCACCCCACTCAATCCCATCTCTGCTCCCCAGGGAGGGTAAGGGCTTCCACGAGGGATTTTCAGAGACTGTCATATCATCCCGGGCAGAGCCTAGGTCCTCCCCAATTTGTTCAGGCTGAGAGAACATCGCTCCATGTGGACTGGGCTCCCAGAATCTATTTGTATGTCAGGAATAAATTCTGATCTACTCCCCACAGTCCCAAAGATTTCTAGGCCTCTTCTCTGGCACCCAGGTTCAGGGATGGGGGTTTCTCAATCAGTCCCATGCTAGCCTCTCAGGCATCAGTCTGGGATCCATGTGTTCCCCCATGTTTAGGTCAGCTGCCTCTGTAGGTTTCACCAGACTGGTCTTGAATCCTTTGCTCATCACTCCTCCTTGCAACTAGGTTCTAGTAGTTCAGTTAGGTTTTTAGCTATGGGTGTCTGCCTCTGCTTCTGTCACTGGATGAGGATTCTAGGATAACATATAAGGCAGTCACCAATCTCTTTGTAAGGGGAGTCATTTAAGGTAGCCTTAATGCTAGTTGGTGTCATACTTGTAGATCTCACTAGTGCCAGATCTCTCACAATGGCTCCACTATTACCATAACTCTCATCCTTCTCTCCTCTCCTCTCTTTCTGCCTTCCTGTGCCCTCCTTCCACTCCTCTTCTCCCCTTTCTTTCTCCCATCTCCCTCTCCCCTCTGTTGCAACTCTTAAAGAAATCCAAGATAAAACAATCAAACAGATGAAGGAAACAATTCAAACAGTTCAAGACCTAAAAATTGAAATACAGATAACAAAGAAAACACAAACTAAGGAAATGCTGGAAATAGAAAAGCTGGGCAAATGATCAGGAACTACAGATGCAAGCATAACCAACAGAACACAAGAGATAGAAGAGAGAATCCCAGGCATTGAAGATATACTATGAGAAATAGATTCATTGAACAAAGAAAATCTTATGTCCAAAAAAATCCCTAACAAAAAATATCCAAGAACTATGGGACATGGTGAATAAGACAAACTTATGAATAATAAGTATAGAACAAGGTGAAGAAACCCACCTCAAAGATGTAGAAAACATATTCAACAAAATTGAAGAAGAAAACTTTCCTAACCTAAATAAAGATGTACCAATGAAAGTACAACAAACATACAAAACACCAACTAGAGTGGATCACAAAAAAGTTCCCTTGCCACATTAAAAGCCAAAACCATAAACATACAGAATAAAGAAAGAATACTAAGAGCAGTTAAAGGCAAAGGACAAGAACATATAAAGGCAAGCCCATTGGTATTACACCTGACTTCTCCATGGAAGCTATGAAATAGTCTACACACACTAAGAGACCACAGATGTCAGCCAAGCTTACTATACCCAGCAAAGTTTTCCATCACTATAGATGGAGAAAGCAATATTATAGTCTATGACAAAACCAGATTTAAACACTATAAATCTACTAATCCAGTGCTACACAAAGTTCTGGAAGGAAAACTCCAACCCAAGGAAATTAACTACACCCACAAAAAGATAGGAAATAGATAATCCCACTTTACCAACAGCTAACAGAAAAAGGGTAGAAATCCACACACAATACCAACAACAACAACAAATCAAAAAAAAAAAACAAAAAAAAACAAGAATGAACAATCAATGGTCATTAATATTCCTCAATATTAATGGACTTAAATTGCCTATAAAAAGACACAGGCTAACAGAATGGATACAAAGATAGAATCTATCGTTCTGCTGCATACAAGAAACACATCAACTTCAAAGATCTCAGAGTTAAGGGTTTGGAAAGGATTTTCCAATGAAATGAACCCAAGAAACAACCAGGTATAGCAATCCTAGTATCTAACAAATTAGATCTCATACTAAAATCAATCAAAAGAGATGAATAAGGTAATTTCATATACATCACAGGAAAAGTCCATCAGGATGAAGTCTCAATTTTGAACAATTATGCTCCAAATAGGAAGAGACCCACATTCATAAAAGAAACCTTACTAAAACTCAAATCACATGCAAACCCTCACACACTTATAGTGGGAGATTTCAATACTCACTGTCAACACTAGACAGGACCACCAGGTAAAGAAACAAAGAAACTAATAGAAGTTATGAGACAATTTGTTTTAGCAGACATCTATACCAAACACAAAAAGAGTGCACCTTCTTCTCAGGGCCACATGGAACCTTCTCTAAAATAGACCACATATTTGCAACATAGCAAACCACAACAGGTACAAGAAAATTGAATAATGCCCTGTATCTTATAGACTACCATCCTTAAAGTTAGAATTCAACAACAACACAAATTGAGGAAACCTACTAACTCATAGAAATTGAGCAATGGGCAATTGCACCATTCCTGGGTTAAGAAAGAAATAAAAAAGAAATTAAATACTTCCTAGAATTCAATGAGAGAATGAAGACACTACATGCTCAAAATTATGGAACACTTTGAAAGCAGTGCTATGAAGAAAGTTTATATCACAAAGTGCCCACATGAAGAAACAAAACTGGAGAATAGTCACACTAGAGAATTAACAGCACAACTGAAAGCTCTAGAATAATAGAATCAAATTCACTCTGGATGAGTAGATGCCAGGAAATAATCAAGTTGAGGCTTGAAATCAATAGAGTAGAAAGTAGAAAAACAATACAAAGAATCAATGTAATGAAGAGATGGTTCTACACGAAAATCAAGAATACAGACAAACCTTTATCCAAACTTACCAAAAGGCAGAGAAGAGAAGGGAGACATAACAAGGAACACTGAGGAAATCCAGAGAATCATCTGGTCATACTTTGAAAACCTGTATACCACAAAATTAGAAAATCTAAAGGAAATGAACATTTTTCTGGATAGATATCACTTACCAAAATTTAATCAAGAACAGATGAGCTATTTCAATAGTCCTATAGCCTCTAAAGAAATGGAAGAATGGAAGCAGTCATCAGAAGTCTCCCAACCCAAAAATTCCCAGGGCCAGATGGTTTCAGTGCAGAATTCTGCCAGTAATTAAAAGAACAGCTAATACTAAAGTAATTCTCCTCAAAGTATTTC